GTGTATATGTAGATTTTTTTTTTTTTCGTAGAAATATTTCCTTTATTAACTTCCCAAAATGGGCAACATTTAAAATTACAACCAGTTGGAAAGATACTAACGATAAGAAATACATATCAATATAGTTTAGAACGACTCGTGAAGCAACAATTTGATCAGGATATTCTGGAAGGAAAGGGAAGTAACTTTAGAGTTGAATGTACCGGAACCATGTTAACAAATATGACTCAAGATAGAAGATGGTTGGATAAGCGGACCAACACCTTCTTTAGCTAGACCAGCAAGCTTAGCTCGAAGTAGAAGCTGAATCTCTTTGACAACAGCTTGCTGCGTCTTCACCTGTGAGGAGTGGAGTCTGGAATTGTGCTCCTTCCAAATATAATACACCACTGCATGAAATATGAGTTTCACAATTGATTTGAGTTTTTTGTTTTTAGTAGAAGATTGTACCCATGAAACAATATCCTCAAAGAGCACCGGAGGAGAAAGTTTCCGATGGTTAAAGAAGGCTGTCCAGACCTCATTTGAATAACTGCAATTGAAGAAGAGATGTCCTCTTGATTCCGCTGCTGAGGCACACAGAAGACAACCAGGTGGAATATCAAGTCTCCATCCTCTTAAACGATCACGAGTAGTCTGTTTATCACGTATTGTTATCCAAAGCATAAAAGCATGCTTAGGAATCTGCTGCGTAAACCAAACTGAGCTGAACCATGATACACTAGGAGATGACGGATGTAAAGAGAGCCAAGTCTTAGAGGATGAAAACACACCTGGAGTATATTTAGATTTATACAAAACTACACCTTGCTTCTTTTTTTTGGTCACATACACCTTGCTTTCTTTTAATCGCAAAATTACTTGTTTTCGATATGTATAAAATTTGTGAACCGAAGATTAGAGCGAGTTCTATTCTTTGAATAGAGTTTTCCTTCAAATTAATTGATTTTCTAACTGAGTTATCAATGTTTGAACTACCACAAGAAGATTAGTACCATCAAATTTGTAACTTATTGTTCAAAAATTACCTAAAACAAAAAGATTAGTACCATCAAATAATATTTCGTACTACCACAATTTGATAGTGAAAACCTGTACTACTACTGTACATTTTGTACCAGCCATTTCAATAGCAAAAATAAGTACTACCTAATAGGCGGTAGAACATTTATCATCTCTCCAAAAAATACCAATGAGAAAGCATAATCAAATTTATTTGGATTAACATAAAATATATATGTATATTTTTTTGGTCAAAAAAATAATTTTTTTAACATTGTAATTTGTAAATTATATCGTTGGTATCTACTTCAAGTATGTACTATTTTGTTACTTAAAAACAAATCTGAAATCTTGAAAAAATGACAAAAAATATGCTGCTATATGGCACTAGAAAAATAGTAGTAGTAAAAACAAATTCAAGTCGTTTACTTATATTGCACGTACAGCTGTGTGACCGTTCAAGTCGTTTAATTTATAATTGTTCTGTATCATTAACAGATAAACATGTAGTAATACATTGGAATAAAAAATGTTTCCATTCCACTGGTTTCGGCTTAATCATCACCGTGATCAATAGAAGAAGAAATCTTGATAGCTTGATGTTATATTTTACTCCTATAAGACTAATTAATATCACCATGTCAAAGTTGGTTGATCGATCCTAATCTCATTTAAGAGAAGATCAAAACAAGATTAGCACGTACTTAAAATAATGTTCACATCAAATATATATATTATATCCTCTATATATGAAAAGATAAGTATTCTAGGCTACTTTTGCTTAGGACACGATCTCTATAGCCAAACACAATATAATACTATTAAATATTTATAAACATGTCTAAAATTATGAAAAAACTATATTATTACTTTTATAATTATCCTAAGCTATATGATTCAATTTATATTTGCAATCTTCCATTTTATATATTTGAATTATAAACTATATCTTTAAAGATTATGATATTCAGTGGCGGATCCAGAAGAAAAATTCATTGGGGGCAAATATATACCAAACTTAAAAAATATACAATATCATCTAAATAATATAGAACGAAAAAATAGTTACAAAATTAACAGTTATTAGTCGTAGTTTATAATGTTTAGTTACTTGATATATGAGTTTTCATGTAATTTATTTGTTGAACATTTGGATTTTAGACTAATTATTTTTGGTTTTTTTTTAAACATTTGAGCCAAATAATAAAAAGATGGGGGCAAAATATAAATTATCAATGGGGACATAACCAAAACTCTTTAGATATTACACTAATTTGTACAAAGTCATGGGGGCAGCTGCCCCCTCCTTGTATAACTTACCTCCGCCCCTGATGATATTTAACA